TTTCTGTCGACGTTATGTCGACAGAACTCATTGGTAGTGTAGACGCAGGTATAGTTTTGTCGACAAAAATCCACTTTCTCCAACCACTCTCCTCCTCCTCTCCAACCACTGATCAGCTTTCTTCCCCATCACATGCAATAACCTGAAAAAAATGATGGCAGGTAATGGGTGTTAGAGCAAGAAAAGAATGAGTTATTCCACAAAAAGGTAAACTGATTTGTACAAGTACTTGTTGTTTTCTGAAGAACATTACCTGCGGAATTGCATTCAGTAATCCACATTATGGACACAACACGCTCATGTCGTAAGTAGACAATATGTTAGATGGCCAATGTTAAAATAAATGGAATCACCATTCTTCCTCCTGCGCTAGTCCCAGCTTATATTCGAGACTTAATGCTGGCTAGCCAGGCTGCCATGGTGATTCATGCTTCCAATTGCTTGTTTTCATATTCTGACTTGATTTTGACATTGTAATCATCGGGAGGTCAGGAACTGAGACCCTCCATGAAATTGAATTGCGGCTTAATTGATGGCTCTGAGAGCTCCACAGTGAGACAAAAGCTGCCAAAACGTGGGCTTGCAAGTCATGTCCATGAAATCTTAGTAAGGAAGGATCCCTGTAACAGAAGAGCACACGCTTCAAGAGTTAGGGCAGAGCCATTTTCAATGCAGAAGGATGTGTTTTGTTTTCTTCCCAAATTTTTATTTTCAAGCATAGAGAGAGTTTTGCCACCAGCCACTTTCAAGAGCAGATGCATTAAACAGAAGCAAAGAAGAGAGAGATAGGGGAGAGAAGTTTAAGAGAAAAGTGTTATTGTGTTGTGTGAATGTCACAGCAGGTGTGGGAGGAAATCTTATTAAGGGAAGTGGAAATGAACATCAATCATCGAAAGAGCCACTGGAGAGTATAGCAGTAAGCAGCACAAAGTGAAACAGGTAAATGCTTGACTCCGAGTCACTGAGTGGTCAGACCAAACAGCCAAAAGCTCTTCCACTTCCAGATGGTGATTTGCATTGCTACTAACATGGAGCAATTCTTGCTAACGGAATACTCAATAGCTCTCAAATTGCATGATATGGGAAAGCACATTTTGCATTCCCTTTTATGGGTCAACACACTGCCTTTGACATTCTCATGCGTGCTGAATCAAAGCTTTGAGCAGGTTGGGCTATGCGGCTCTATTTCTTAGGAGGAACTTTGACTAAACATGCTGCAACAGTAGCTGCATCATCCTCAAAATCAAGATGCAGAATGTACATTTGAGTCAGTGCTCATTCATCTGCATGATTCTATCCCTCCTCCTTTGGATAGCTGGAATCCATAATTGTACTGGGAGGTAAA